TTTTTAGGTCCCCAAGATAGTGCGGCACCCTTATAAAAAAAAGACCCTAAAAGGGACACTAATTTAGAAAGCTACCCATAAGCGAAGAGAACTAAGCAGAGCCCGACATCCGAAGCACCTGGTGGGGAAGAGCCTCTGCCTGTGAGGTGTGGCCCCTGTCAGCAGCTGAAGTCGCTCTTTCTGAAGTCAGACTTGGGGTTGGCGGATTACTGACCCAGAGACTCCAATATGGGAGTTTCCGAAAATAGGGGGTACCTTATTTAGGGGTCCTTATAGTAAGGATCCTACTATTTAGGGTGCCTTATTATGTTGGGGACCAAAAACAGGGATCCTGATTTAGAGAACTACCCATGAATTAAACTGAAGTATCCGTAGAACCAAACCTACAGCGCAAGCCCTAGAAATCCTGACTCAGAGACTCCAATATCCCTTAATTAAGGAATATTCCTTAAATTTTAGTAGGATCCTTAGTATGATTTGAGGTATATTCCTTAAGTAAGGAATATTGGAGTCTCTGGGGAACCCTGAAACCGAAGGCCTTGAGGTTTGTAGGTTCCTATCGGCAATAACAGTGCTACTATAGGGCTCCACTGGGTCTCAGCAGGGTTCCTGTAGGGCTTTAAGTTGGAGTTAAGGGTTTTCCGGTGCTTTAAAAGGGTGTTGGGGTCTGCGGGGTCCTCCGGAAGTTGGACGTGGATTTCAAGGGCATTCCCTGGGTCTTTCTCGGACCCTAAACCCTAAACCCCTAAACCCTAAACCCCATACCCTAAACCCTAAACCCCTAGACCCTAAACCCTAAACCCCATACCCTAAACCCCATACCCTAAACCCTAAGCCCCAAACCCTAAACCCTCGGGGGTCCTCCTCAAGTTGCATTTGGATGTTGGGCTCAAGAGGCCCAGGGCTGTCGGGCGGGGCGCAACATGTGCCTGGAGGCCTAAGAGCTTTAGGCTCAGGGTTTGGGGGTACCCAGAGATTCCAATATCCCTAAATTAAGGAACATACCTTAAATCACATTAAGGATCCCACTATAGTTTAAGAATCTTCTTTAAGTTGGAGTCTCCGGGTGCTCTGATAGATAATATAGGGGCGTTAGTACTTACCTATACTATTGTGGGGCTCCTTATCATAGTTATAGTATACTACGCCCCGAAAACCCTATTCTAATTATTAAGGCCTCTATATTGCCCTAGACCCATAGCCCTGAATCCCTGAACCGCTAACCTTTGAAAGCTCATTTGGCAGCTCGATGTGCTGGGTGAACCTACATGGTGCCCGTCTTTGTTGGTCTTGTCTTTAGACCTTGCCTGGCATGGTCCGAGAGTGAGAGTCAACAGAACTTAAAACCCTCGAGCCCTAGGGGCTGTCGTCGTGAAATTCGCCACCAAGGCCGCGCATCCACCGGTTGGCGCAGCTTCTTGCTGCAGAGGCCCTCTTGCTCTAGGGTTTAGGGATAGGGTTACCCAGAGACTCCAACATTCCTTAATTAAGGAATATTCCTTAAATTATAGTAGGATCCTTACTATGATTCAAGAAATATTCTTTAATTAAGGGATATTGGAGTCTCTGGGTACCCCAAGCCCCTAAGCCCTAAACCCCACACCCAAAGTCCCTCAACCCTACCCCGGAGGGCTAAGGGAATCAGTGTGTTTTGTCTTCTGGGTTTGGAATGTGAGGTTTCGACTCATGTCTGCGCAGCTGGCACGGTGGGGTTTAGAGCTTTGGACTTGGGTTAGATTGCGGTTTAGGGTTTAGGGTGTGTTAAAGTGTGGTGGTGCAATATCTAGGCTCTAGACCTTGCAGAACCTCACCTTTTAAGGGCCTATTTCCGGAAGTCATACAGTCGAAACCTAAGAAGGTAGGTCTCTTAGGGTCCAGGTCAGGTTTACGGTTTGGGCTTACTGCAGAAGTCTGCATATTTTTATCGGGCTTTAGCTTGTGCTTTGAACTGCACGTTTGTTAGGGTTTAGGGTTTAGAGTTTAGGGTCTGCGCCTTAAGAGGGGGTGAGGGTTACATAGGCGCTGGCCGGCACCTCAGTCCGTGCCGAACAGGGGTCTACGCGTTTGTCTGACAAGAGTGTAGAGGTGGGCAGGAAGTGGTTTGTACATGTTTAGTTTTTTTCATCCCTGGCTGTAGTACCTGAACCCTTAGGGGCTGAGTAGGTAACCTTTAACCTTGTGGGCTTATATAATCCTAGTATAATTCAAAAGGTTAACCGTTTATTGGCTTGGGTGCTCACCCTGTAAGAACCCTGCATGTTGTCACTTAAGGCTCGAAAACCTAGCAACCTGCAATCCTAGAGTCTTGACCCGTCCTTTCGAAAGCCTGACGGATTTGATGAGGTCCGGTTTAGGGTTTAGGGTTTAGGGTTTATTCTGCTTCCCAGCTGATTGGCAGAGTCTGGGTTCAAAAAAGGGGTTTATCCTTTTTGGCAGTACCTGTATAGCTGATACAAATATGCTGAAACTCAACCCTGTCTGTTAAAGCACATGTAGTCCAGTAGCTTCGCCCTCCACCCAACTGCAAGTGCTCTGAGGCATCCATCGCAGTAGGCGTCATCGACACAGATGAAAACGAGACCTGGATAGTTCAGCGTTCAGCAGCACTTCCCTGAAACGCCCAAAGCTTGGATACTGCCCCCACTCTGCAACAGTTGGATAGTACTTGCAATAGCTTATATGATCTCCGATATCGACTGCTATAGGGTGGGGCAGTACCCTTATAGAACCAAGTGTTCCTTAGACCAGGATAAGATGCCCTAAACTAATGGGGTCGGGGATAGGGGGTGGATAAGTAGAGGGATTGTTTTCAAGCGGTCTAGGCCGAGGGAATGTTGATTTGTTAGCTGGCTTGGAGTGATTTGGTGTCTCCTCAATCCGACCCCCTGTGCTAAGAAGCGTTTCAAGCGACACGTTATTGCCAACATTTCCACCCCGAGTCCATACTGGCAATGCGAGTACTATGTTTGCATGTAAACTGGAATTCTGGTTGCACTCCTTGCCACCATGACCTCACACTCCTCATACCTAAAACATTAATGCTATCATGCATGTCAGCGTTTATACACACAGACTAATGGCCTGGTAAGTGCTGCCAGGGGCCTTGGCAGTAGTAGAATCCCGGCATCCTACATCTGAAACTCCATAGCCTGCGGATTCGAGATGTGCTGTAACACAAAATTGCGGGCCCTGGTGGTGTCCTCTCGTTATTTTTCTACCTATCTGATCTATCAATTTCGCTGTCTGTTTGTCTGTCTGTCTGTCTATCTGTCTGTCTATCTCCGTGCGAATCGTAAGTTAAGTCGCGAACGAGAATCCACACGGCGGAAGCCTCAACGCCCTAGAGACCTACCAAAACTACCAGCATGCGGGGTCCCTTGAAAACCAATACGAGGGCCTTCCTAATTAGACCAAAGTTTGGGGCTCGGCGTGAGTTAGTTGTACTATGCTTGAAAGCATGACCCCATAGGAATAGTATGGCTAGTTACCTACTATAGATGCCTACTTTTAATAACTACCAATAGTAGTTTGAAGGTTCCTTCTTATAGCTATAGTATGTTATACCCCCAAGCCCTATTCTAATCATTTAGGCTGAAGCCACAAGTCCGCGAGAGTGAAAACTCACTGTCCATTTAGGGTTTAGGGTTTAGGAAAAAGGTCTTCAGGAGTTTAGGGTTGAGGGTTTGAGGATTTAGGGCTAGGGTTCAGGGGTTCCTCATGGGCCCTATCATACTCAGACAGCTATATAGCCAAAATCTGTGGAAATCCAAGGCTGACATACCAAGCTCAAAATGATCCCAAACTCAGAAAGCTGCTACACATCCAACTCCCTCACCAACGAAGGCTCAACACGAAGCAACCCGAACCGTAAACTCTAAACTCAAGAAGCTTAACTTAGGAGCCCAGTAGGTAAACCTTAAACTTTTTGGTATATTAAACCCCCTACTAAAAGAAAAGTTTAAACTTTTTTGGGCCAGGGTACTGGGCTTAAAGCTTAAAGCCCTGAGCGCCCGAATCTTCGAGGGGTTAAGGGGTTAAGGGTTGACGATTAAAGACACCTCTGCCGCTGTTCCTGTAGGGGCCTAAAGGTTACCTATACTATTCTGGAGGTTCCTTATTATAAGTATAGTATAATGGGCCCCAAAACCCTATTCTAATTATTAAGGCGACCTCGTGATGTTCATCGCCCTCGTCCCTAGACCCTGGAACCCCAAACCGCTAAACCCTCAAAGTCCAGCCAAGGAGCTCCAAAGCAGATATTTCCCCGAGCCTCACATTCCGAACGTGAAGCTCGGAATGCCTTAAGGCTGCAATGCTGCCACCGCGGCAGATTGAATGAGAAACAAGAAGAGCACGAAAATAGGTATCGGGCGTTCCCCAAAGGGTCTGAAGAGTGATGTACACACTGGGTGTTTAAAAGGATTTGGTTACTTGGAGGATCATGGGACTTAGTAAGTAAGGTTATAAGTCCCTTAATTGGGGTTATAAGTATAGTTACCTTACTTATAACCCGGCTTACTAAGTCCCATGATCCTTTAAGTAGGGTGGACACGAGGCCACGATGGCTTCCTGGCGGTCTCCCCTTGGTCTCCTGCTTGTCTTGATCGTCGTAGTCCCAGAGACTCCAATATCCCTTAGTTAAGGGATACTCCTTAAATCATAGTAGGATCCCTAATCTGATTTAAGGTATATTCCTTAATTAAGGGATATTGGAGTCTCTGGGGTCGTCGTCGCGCTGCATCGCCGTTTGGGGATCTACGCTGGCATAAATGCTCGGAGACCTGTAGTTCTAGGATGGATTGGCTTGCTGATTTCGATTGGTGCTTCTTCCGGAACTGGCTCTCGAACCTCTTGGAGTAGGCGATACATAGACACATGCTGTAACCCTAAGACTCTAGGCTCTGCAGGGTTCAAGCAAACCCTAAACCCTTGGCATTCTGAGGAAGCTCTTCTTGCAGGGCAACAAGCGACAGCCGATAGCTGTGACGAATGCATCTGGCATGTCCCTGGACGAGCTCGCTGGGTGCCCGGGGCAGCAGATGATGCAGGGCACAGCTTCTTCAGGTGGCCAACTTTCAGTTGGATTCACTCCTTTTGGGGGTCCTTTTTATAAGGGTGCCATATTATATTGGAAAGGGATCCTAATTTAGAGAACTACCCATGACTTAAACTGAAGTATCCGTAGGAGTAGGAGACGTGGTCGTAGTCGCGGTCACCGTGCGGTGTTGCCGGCCATGGTGAAGTTGCTTGCACGCACCAACCAAACCTACAGCGCAAGCCCTAGAAATCCTGATCTTCCCAGAGACTCCAATATTCCTGTCTTAAGGAATATTCCTTAAATTATAGTAGGATCCTTAATATGATTTAAGGTATATTCCTTAATTAAGGGACCTCCCGAAACCCTGAACGTAAAGTTTATCTCAGCCGAATCCGAGCTCCGAACCTGCGGATCGGGCATACGGCGTGTTACTCACATGTATCGGTGAGAAGATATCAAGCTCAAATCGCAAAATGAGGGCTTTGTGAGGTCACCTGTTGCAGGTGACGCCTTTTGGGGGATCCAAAAACAGAGCCTAGTTGAAGTGGACCCTCAGCGCAGCTCCAAAGGTTCTTGGAGCAGCAGACCGGCGTGAGCATCCAAAAAGCCATCGAAAAGGGCTACCCAGCCTATGCAGAGCGCATCGGCGCCTCGGTTGATGCTTTTTTAGACGAGAAGAAAACCCCCAAAACCCCCAAACCCTAAACCTTTAAACCGTTAAACCCTAAAATCCCTAAAACCCTAAACCCAATATAAAAGACCTATATACCCTAAGCCTTTAAAACCTACAAACCCTAAACCTTTAAACCCTATAGACCCGAAACCTTTAAACCCTGTAAACCCTAAACCTTAGATTCTTTATTTCGAAGAGAAGTAGCTCTGAAGTCACTTCTGTGAGACGGCTCCCAGGCTGCAATCAGCTGGGTTCCTGCTGTCAAGTTTAGGGTTTATGGGTTTAGGGTTTCAGGGTTTCAGGGTTTCAGGGTTTTAGGGTTTAGGGTTTACGGTTTTGGGTTTTGGGTTTTGGGTTTGGTTCCGCGTCCGAGTTTAAAGTTTAAGGTATCTGTTCAGGGTCAAGCTGGGCAGTAAGGGCAGCAGTCGAGCCCCTTGTGAAAAAAGGTATTTGTTCAGAACGTTTGGCTTTGGTCTCAGAATCAAGGTGTAGCGCCGGGCTTTCTTTAGGGCCTTGCGACATTGGGTGTTGGGGCGGCGGGCGCTTTAGATCGCCGCTCTTCCCACGAACCAGCACTTTTTAGCCGCAAGGCCGTTCAATCCTGATCCAGAGCCCAGCTGCATCCTGTGTTGCAATCCTATCCACCATGAAAAAAATCGAAAGTAGGGTTCGGGCCTCGGCACTCGAAACAAAAAGACCCTCAACCCTAAATTCCAGTCACAGTTCTCTTCCACGAGACGGGATTCTGCAGCTTCGGATGACTAAAGCTGGAAAAGGTGCTCAAACAAGCACCCTTATGTCCCCCAGCCCAACTTTCGAGCGCCTGAAGGAAACCCGGCGCCCAGGCGTGGATGCGCTGCTGACAAAGCTGAAGCAGACGGCGCTGTCCAAGCCCATCCCGAGAGCCCCCGGCCAACCGGGTATCAAGGCCGGGTTTAGGGTTTAGGGTTTAGGGTTTAGGGGACTTTCCAAAAATAGGGGGTACCTTACTATATTAGGGTCCCCTATTTTCGGAAACCCCCATATGGGTAGTTCTCTAAATTGGGGTCCTTTTTAGGGTCCGTCTTATAAGGGTGCCGTACTATATTGGGGATCCAAAAAGGGACCCTAATTTAGAGAACTACCCACATAGGAATTAGAGTTTAGGGCTCAGGATTTGGTGCGTAGGGCTTAGGCCCTAAACCCCAATGTTAGGGCCTAACTGAATAATTACTTATAGAATTTGGTTTACAAGGGGACGTCAGTACGAATTATTCTCACCCCTATCTCACAGCTTAAATCCAGAACCCTGAACCCCAGTGGCGTTGAGTGCGTTCAAGGGGTTAGGGCTCATAATTTACACATCCCTGAGCCCCTCAATCCTAGACGCTTACACCACTTTAAAACCCTAAAACTAAACGCCATACTCCTAAACCCTTAAACGCCCAAACCCTAAATCCTCAGCCCTAAATCCTTGCTATGTGCTCAAACCTGAGGCTCAGGATCTTCTGTGCCCGAACACTGAAACCTTAAATCCAAAAGGAGTTGGGGGTTATAGGGTTTAGCAGATGGAAGAAGCCAGGTCAGCAGGATAGCTGTTTGAGCTTTTGAGGGTGTTACAGAGCTAGGGGACTTTCTGGAGTCCTCATATCCGTTAGGATCCTAGTAGGTAAACTTCAAACTTTGTTGATACAAAAACCCCCTACTAAAAGAAAAGTTTAAACTTTTTTGGGCCAGGGTACCGGGCTTAAAGGTATCAAATAGAAGAGAAGGAGCCCAATATGAGATTCAAAAAGCTGGATCTACAATCATGATTTGTGGTTCCTGCCTTTTCTGAAGGTTCCCTGTTTGCTGAAGCCCCCGCATGTTTTCTTCCAAAGTACCTGTACCCGCACTCGAAACCTGTAGCAAGCGATGCCGTACTCTTGCCGCTTGTTTCGGCGACCCATCGTGTGCTATCAGGGTTTAGGGTTTACTCAGTGCTACTCCTACGATTTTAGGGTTTACGGTTTAGGGAACTCAGCGTCGGAACTCTTAGTGGCATACTGCTACCTGTTACCATAAATTCAGAGCCCTATCCCTAGACCACAAGCTCTTTAAACCCTCAGCCCTCAACCGAAAGCCCTGAACACGAAGGCCTCCACCTGAAGCCCTGATCCCTAAACTCTAAACCCTTAACCCTCAACCTTAAGCCTTGTACGCCCGAAACCCCGAAACCCGAACCCTTAGCTGTGGCTGTGAGGCTTTGGCGACGTTCCTCTACCACGAGCTCCTGACTGACGGCCAGGCAGCGGCTGGAGGGCTTGACTGGGAGGGTTTCAGACAGATTGAGCGGGCTTTATAGGGTGATATAATATACGGGCCTCAATGATTAGAATAGGGTTTGGGGATACATTATACTATAGTCATATTAAGGAACCCCCGAAAAAACCCATTCTAACTACTAAGGCCCCTACATTACGATGTTGCATGGTTTCATAGGGTCCGGGCCTCTATTCTGCACATTACCGGTGCGCAGGTCATGATCTTCCAAGTAGCGAGCATCTACAATCTACACTTGGAAAATTCACTTCAGCTCGAAGACCCCACCCTAAACCGTAAGAAGCCCTGTAAAGCCCTAAACCGTAAGAAGCCCTGTAAAGCCCACCTTTGAACCCTGAAGCCTAAACCCACTAAACCCTAAACCCTAAACCCTAAACCTTACAGAATTCAGAACCTTTGACCCCTGAAGCCTAAACCCTAGACAGCCCTTACAGAGTTCAGAGCCCAACTTGAGGGTGGAAGGAAGAGGGGACTCTGGTATAGCACCCTAAATAGTAGGATCCTTGTTTGAAGGACACCAAAATAAGGTACCCTAATTTTCGGACCCTAGTACAGCCCCCTAAATACTAGGATCCTTATTCGAAGGATCCCGAAATAAGGTACCCTAATTTTCGGAAACTCCAACATGGCTTCCTGGAGGCGAGCGTGCAGGAGATCAGCCCACCGCGCCCCCAGGCGGCTGACAGCACCACGAAGGCAGACTCGTGGGTTTAGGGTTTAGTTTTTCGGGCTTAGGGTTTAGGATTTAGGGTTTAGGGTTTAGGATTTAGGGTTTAGGGTTTAGGGTTTAGGGTTTAGGTTTTGGTCTGGACTTTCGCGCTTTACCAGGGTCTGATAAGGGCTGTTTTCAAGTTCTGACGAAACTGTCCGTCGCTGTGGGGGCTTCAAGGAGTTGTTAGGGTCTCGGGCTTAGAAATGAAAGCACTTGGCATCAGTCTGTTAGGGTGTGGTTTAGCAATGGGTCAAAAACTTAGGGGCTGAGTCGGTAACCTTTAACCTTTTGGGGCTCCTATAATCCTAGTATAGTTCAAAAGGTTAGCCATTTTTGGGCTAGGGTACTCAGCCCCGAAGAAACAGGTTGGTATCTTGGCATGGACCCCGTGAATATGTAGGATCTTCGGAAGCCTCAGTTGCTCCTAAACGATGAGGGCTCGGGTTTTAGGGACTTTGGGGATGTAGTAGAGGCTGCTGATCCAATTCAGGAATCCATGTTCAAACCCCTTGGTATAGCTCAAGAGCATCTTAGACCCTAAACCCTAAAAGCCTGTGTAGTTTGAGAATATGGGTAGTTCTCTAAATTAGGGTCCTGTTAAAGTCCCCAAAATAGTACGCCACCCCTACAAAAGGGTACCCTAAAAGGGACCCTAGTTTAGGGAACTGCCCATGTGTTAGAGCAAGCCTACGCTCCTAAACCCTACAACCCTAAAACCCTGAACCCTAAACCCCAAACCCCTAAAGAGCTTGCTTGATGAACGTGCTTTGGAGTGTCTGCTCTAGGGCCCTCTTCCTCGCAGCCGCTCCTTTAAGGGTTTTGGGTTTCGGGGCTTCTTAATGTAGGGACCTTTCTAATTAGAACAGGGTTTTGGGGCTCATTATACTATATCTATAATAAGGAACCCCCAAAATAGTATAGGTAATTATTTTGTTGGGCCCCTACATATCATACGGGTCCTGTTAGGGTTCTATACGGGTTCTATTGGGCGTAGGGCTTTAGAGGTCCATGTACCTATGTAGGATATAACTTAAGCCTTAAAGGTGTTCCTTTTTCAGGGTACTTTGAGTATACACCCTAACCCCTAAAACCCCTAAACCCCAAACCCCAATCCCCAACCCCTAAACCCCTAAACCCCAAACCCCAAACCCCAAGCCCTAAACCCCTAAACCCCAAACCCTAAACTACACTATGTCGGCACAAGGGAGCCTTGGGGCTCGATCCCACGCCCCACCAACGCCCCCCAATACCGAAGGACCCTCGAGAAATACGAGGAGCCTAAGGAGGAACCCAGAGACTGCAATATCCCTTTGGTTTAGGGTTTAGGGTTTAGGGTTTAGGGTTTAGGGTTTAGTTAAGGAACATACCTTAAATCATATTAAGGATCCTACCACAATTTATGGAATATTCCTTACTTAAGGGATATACCTTAACTCATATTGAGGATCCTACTATAATTTGAGGAAGAGTCCTTAGTTAAGGAACATACCTTAACTCAGATTAAGCTTCCTACTATAATTTAAGGAAGTCCTTAGTTAAGGGATGTTGGAGTGGGAACCTAAGAACCCGGACGAGCCTTAAGCCTCGCGGTGTGGAGGTCCTTCCACAGGGCCCGCCAGTGCAGCCCCTTGGCTTCTTCCAGTGTAGGGTATATGAGAGTTTCCGAAAATAAGGGGTACCTTATTTTGGGGTTCTTATAATGAGGATCCTACTATTTAGGGTGCTATATGAGGGTCCCCTATTTTCGGAAACCCCCATGTAGGAGAAAAACAAGGTATTCCATGGGGCATTCTAGAGGGTATCTGTAGGGCATACCAGTTGTGAGGATTTCCGTCAGGTCTCTGGGTCCGGCAAGTCAGGGGGGGAGTTTCAGAAATTTGGCCACACTAAGGATCTTCGCTGTAAGGACCGCGAAAAAAGTGGTTCGGTGAACCTTAATTTTGTGCCGAAGCCTTGCGGCAGGTAGGTCTTCCGGAGGATTCGAGGTCTTCAACGGTTAGAATTTGCTGCTGGTTCCCCTCTGAAGGCTGAAGATCTGAAAAAGCCGAATACACAGGTCTGAATAAGCGGTAAAACGACGAAACGCCATACTCCCATTCGTCGCAAGCTTAGGGCTGCAGGCATCAGGGACATTATCTGCAGTTGAGGGCCCAGGGTGTCTATAGGGAGTCCAGGGTTCAGGGTTCCCAGAGACTCCAATACCCCTCAATTAAGGACTCTTCCTTAAATTATAGTAGGATCCTTAATATGATTTTAAGGTATATTCCTTAATTAAGGTATCTTGGAGTCTCTGGGTTAAGGGAGGTGCATCCGGGAATACGGTTTGTATGGTCGCGGAAGCAGTAAGAACACAAAACCCTAACCCTGGTTGCTGCGTTCCCAAGCCTGTAGCCCCACAACATCTAGACTCTAGGCCGTCGATGTCAGAAGAAAACCCTACCTCTCCCGCTTGCAACGCAAAAATCGGAACATATCGTAGCATGCAATTCGGGCAGTTTTCTTACAAACCGAGCGCACGACAGGCTGCCATCCTGTACTTCCTGAAACCCTGAGCCTTACCTAACTGTCCATTGGCTACCCAGAGACTCCAATATCCCTTAATTAAGGAATATACCTTAAATCAGATTAAGGATCCTGCTATAATTTAAGGAATCTTCCTTAATTAAGGGATATCTGCTGAGCCTCATTGCGGCTGAACCCTATAAAAACCCAAGAGACCGTGTAGGAATGCCTTCAGCCCTTCGCTCAAGGCCTGAGCGACTAAACCCTCATAGAACCCTTAAGGAACCCTTAAAAACCTTCATCGAACCCTTAAAGGAACCCTAAAAAACCCTCATAGAGCCCTTTAAGGAACCCTTAAAAACCTTCATAGAACCCTTAAAGGAACCCTTAAAAACCCCCATAGAGCCCTTTAAGAAACCCTTAAAAACCCTGCACCAAAGCGCGAAGAGCTCAGGCTGCGCCGAGCTATTTCGGCCAAGGCAGCAGCTGCGCCGACCGGCGGCCCCCCGATGCTGATGCGAGCCGTCTCGGGAGGCAGCTTAGAGGTTGATATCTTAGGGGCTTAGGGTTCAGGGTTTAGGGTTGAGGGTTCAGGTTTTTGGGTTCAGGGTTCAGGATAACCTATATCATTCTTAGGGGCTGAGTAGGTAACCTTTAACCTTTCGGGGCTTATATAATCCTAGTATAATTCAACAGGTTAGCCTTTTTGGGGCTAGGGTACTCAGCCCCTAAAGGAAGCCTCAATAATCACCAATACTATTCTGGGGGTTCCTTATTATAATTATAGTATAATATACCTCAAAACCCTATTCTCATTGGTAAGACCCCTACATTAAGTGTAGGGTTTAGAAATCAGGCCTTGGGGTTTTGGGGGGGGTTCGGGAGGTGCAGTTTGCGGGTAGGATGTTCTAAGGTTTTTAAGCTTTTGCAGGGTTCACAAGGCTTGTTGATTCAGAGAGTTTTATGAGGTTTTGCAGGGCTAGAGATGCTTGGGGCAGACAAGGCTTGAGGAATTTAGAGCTACTCATGGCGTGGGTGAGAGTGCGTGTGTGTGTGTGTGTGGGTGGGTGGGTGTGGATGTATCCAATTTGCAGAACAAGAGCTGAGGGGGGTTGAAAGTTTAGAGCACGCAGGATGCACGAAAGCATTCCTGAATGGTGTTGAACGCTGCTGCACGCAGGCAGTCTGCACCTTAGGGGCTGCGTAGGTAACCTTTAACCTTTTGGGGCTCATATAATCCTACTACGATTGCAAAGATTACCTTTGTTGGGCCAGCGGTACTCATCCCCCTAGAGACGAAGCCTAAGCCGCCTTGGCGCGCAAACCCTTCGCCAGGCTTCATTCAGTCCAGAAGCAGTATGAAGTAGAGTACAGCTTAGTGTGATTTGATATCAGTAAAGAAATATACTATAATATAATATTATATTATACAACACAATATAATATAATATAATATAATATAATATAATATAATATAATATAATATAATATAATATAATATAATAGAATATAATATACTAAAATATTATAGCCATTTTCAAGAGGCCCAGTGCTTCGTTAGTCTGCTGTGGCGCTGCCGGACAAACCAGACGGGTTTGGGGCACCCGATCCACACAGCCTGCAGGTGTAGGAGTAGGGCAGAAATGGCAAAGAGCCCTCCACACTAAAGACGAGGAACCCAAAGGGGAGCCTAAACTCAACGCCTCTTAGCCAGGCGGCCAGAGCCAAGCACGCCATCGTGTAAGCGTGTGCCTTGCCTCTCATGTGGTTCGGGGACTTCGGAATATCTAACCCGTCCGTTAATCCTCTAATCCACCAGATACAGCCAGCAAGGTGCTATACGACCTTATCGCATCGAAGCTTCGTGTGCTAGAATCCCAGAACCCAACTAACTGCAGCCATAATTTCCTGATTCATAACAGATTTCTTAGCCCCAAAACCCTAAGCACTACAGTGGGAAGTGCAGACCCTAAAAACCTCAACCCTAAAGTGGGCAAGAATTGCCCGTCCGCTAGCAGGTAAGGCCTGTTGGGAGCGTCTTCAGTAATCATCGGGAGGTTTCCTTGCAGAAAAGTTGTAATCTAGCGGTTTCATTTTCCATGGCACAATCAGTCACCATCATCGCCATGTCGTGGTTGATGCTGCCAGAGCCGAAGACAAAAACGGCAAGAAGAGATCGGCTCTTGAAGCCTTTGTACCGAGCTCCTGTGACGGGTCAGCGGCCGGCTCGACCCAATTTTGCCAGACAGCCAAAAGAAGCTGTGTTATGCTGTTGTGCGATCTTCAGAGCGCAATCATCTCCCACATCTTTCCCAATTCTAACCGTGGTTGAGAGGGGGTCTCAGAGCCTATCAGGAGCGCCCTTCCAAAATCAGCAAATCACATGCATGCGTTTTGGAAGGAAACATCGGGCTCCAGCCCAGAACGCACCTGCCTGAGCGAGTTTGCGTAGCACAAGTGCATTTTGGAAGGACATTCCGCACGCTTTGGAGGAACATTCCGTGTCCTGTTCCAGCCAAATGCCGGCACAGTGGTTTTCTGAGCCAAGCCTGGTGGTCTTGGCAACCCACGGCAACCCTAGACTGACTATCGTGAAAGATATTTTGCTTGGTGGTCTTTGGAGGAAAGCTCTGTCATGCTGCCGATTCCTCACGTTATCTTCAGCCACGATGAATTAGCCGGTAGCCTCACAATCTACATGCAGGGGTTGCTAAAGACGTGCTACAGTTGGGCTGCGAAAAAATTGTAGAACCCGGAGCCTTTTCAACCTTGAACCGTACATGTCTGAACCCACGAAAACCTAAAACATTAACATCCTGAATGCTAAGCTCTGAAACCCATCCCTATATCCCTAAAGCCGTGCGGGATTACATCCGAAAGGCGCAACGCCTAACCAGGGTCGACACAATCCGAGGCCCAACTTGGCCTTGGGCATGTCAGACAAACGTCTGACCGAACGACTTTTGGAAGAGCGGCTCGCCAACCTACTCGGCGCATCAAGATTTACAGGATGTTCAGGGTTTAGGTTAGGGCTTGAGATTTTAGATTGAGGTTTAAGACGTTCGACACATACAGTTAAGTATTTCGCAACCCCAGCTTGTAACATTGCAAAGCTATGGTGTCCAGGTCTCGTTGTTGAGGTGCCGTCCAACATTTTGTTTTGAGCTTGGGGCTGCTACGCCGCAGTGCAATATAGGGGTCGGAGTAGAAGTCGTAGTAGTTAATAGTGTTTTCCTTATTAGAAGTATAATATAACATGATCCGAGCCGTTACATTAGTCAGCCGCTGCCTGGGTTGGGCTTGTTAGTAGGACCTGCACCGTGGTATTGCGATGTGCAGTCGCAAAGCCCCGCCTTGAAGCTTTGGGGTATTGTGTTTACTTCATGGTTTGGAGTTCTGGAGTTCAGACTCAAGAGCCATACATGTTCAATCCAGCCTTACTTTTTCAAAATGAAGCGTGCCCGTTTACCTTGAACGGCAAAATGTTTCTTGGGTCTCTCCTTATCAAAATTGAACCAAAAGTACGTTCATAGTGTCCCCTTTTTGTTTTTTTGTAGTCATACTAGAATAAACCGCAAAGCCATTTTCTGATCATCGAGGCTCATCTATTGCCTCTATCAACCACTAGTCTCTGAACCCTAGACCGCATATTAGAACGCATACTGGGAGCTTCGGGTCTCAGGCTTTTCGAGAAGCACCTGCTGGCGCAAGTGCGCGTGGCGCAGCCGGAGGAGTTCAAGGCTTTCGTGAAGGCCTTCCTGCTCAAGGCGGGCTTTCGGAGTCGGGCTCCTGTCGAGGTCCGTTGGGGGTTTAGGGTTTAGGGTTTAGGGTTTAGGGTTTAGGGTTTAGGGTTTTAGGGTTTTAGGGTTTAGGGTTCCTAAGAGAGGTTTGGGGATGAAGGGTTTCAGTCTGCACATCACTGCGTATCACTGCCAGGGCTTTCCAATCTAAAAAGAGGTGTTTCCATGGTTTAGGCTACCGTGCCTGGATAAATCAACGCGTGCTTTTTCGACACCACCAAGATATGGGTATTTACTGAGCCACTGATTACCGTGAACCGGCCAGACTCTTTTTGCATTTGTGCAGGGTGCCTATAAACTGCGAAAGTGGGCTTTGTATCAGGACCGTATCAAAAGGTGAAGGTGGGGATAAACGGTAAAGTGGAGTAAACCCTATAAGCCCCAGACCCGAACCCTACATCCTAAATCCCTCATAAACCCTTGCGCAGATAAGCCCTGAAGATCTGAAGACCGCAAGGTGGCACAGCCTACATACAGCCACTCCATCTTCTTCAACGCTCGGACGCGGGTCTCCTGGCAGATGTGCCCAGAGGCCACGCAGCTGGTCGCTGCAGCGCGCATCTTGCGATTCCTTCTTCGGCTCCCTGGCTTTTCGAACTCAAAGGTTCAGGTGGGGTTTCGCTGTTTGGGATTTGCCATTCGGGGTTAAACCCTAAAACCCTAAACCCTAAACCCCTAAACCCTAAACCCTAAACCTTAAGGGTTGTAGGCTTTGGGCGTTTAGGGTTTCATGGGTTTCGGGGATTGGGGTTGAGAGTAGGTCAGGAAGGCTCTGGGGCCGAAGGCGGGGTCTGAATATCTTGTAACAGGGTTGATGATATAAAAACCTGCACTACCTTAAGGAGCCTAAAGTATGGGAATTCTGCCTGGGTCTCCTGGTCTTACTGTTTCAAGCCCGTGCATGACATGACATTGCTGGGTTTAGGGTCCAAAAGTGTTGATTTTGGGAGGGCCTGGCCAGTGGCTTCCTCTTGGGCTTCACGGTTTCCGGGTTCATTTGCTCAAATAGTCGGGGGGGCTTTACATCCCAAATACTGCACTCTCTAAGACCCCACTGTTCGGTGACTTGGACTCTTAGGGTTCAGCATGATGCGGTGGAGGGCTTAGGATGGCGCATCGCCGGCCTTTGGTAGCTGTTGTCTTAAGCGTATCAGCCCGAACCCAACCCACCACTCACAACCCTACAAAAACCTTCAAGAAATCCCACAGGACTCTTTTAGGACCTAAAAGCCCCTTATAGTACAAAACCCCTGGACAACCTAGAAGCCTCAGTAACTACCGGTCTGAGTGCTTGAGGTTGATTCATGTATCTGTACTATACTGTTGATGATGTAAATCCTGCATTACCTTAAGGACCCTAAGCTATGGGAACAATTGCATATTTCCTATTGTGGGTAATGCAGGATTTACAGCATCAACCGTAGTATAGCACAAAGCCTTATCCCAAGCGTGAAGGCCCCTAAGTTCCCTTTCGTAACTCCTAGTAGAAAACCTTTGTTGTAATGATCAAGTTGATTGTATCTGTACTATAAAAATTTGCCACGAAACGCACGAAACCCCCAAAATATGCCACGAAACTCCATTCTACTTATCAAGACCCCAAAACCCAAAACCCTAAACCCCCAACATTAGCTCAGGTGGGCCACCCAGCGCCGTGCACTGAACGGTCTCCCACCGCTCAGCGTTCCCTGGGCTCCGCCGCCCGCCCCCACGGTGCCTGGGCTCCGAAAAGGGGGGGTTTAGGGTTTAGGGTCTTAGGGGTTTAGAGGTTTGGGGTTTAGGGTTTCAGGCTTGGGGTTTAGGGGTTTAGGGTTTAGGGTCTACTGTAGGCCTTACCGGCCTTATAGGTCTTATACGGATTATGGCGGGTTTTGGGGTCTAGGGCGTCGGTTGCTTTGGGGATTCTATAGGCGGTTTCACAAGGGCTCGGGGTTTCCAACCTTAGACGGTGCTGGGAGCCATACTTATTCCTTAGGGGCTGAGTCTGTAACCTTTTGGGGCTAACCTTCTGGGGCTTAGAAAATCCTGGTATAATTCAAAAGGTTAGCCTTTTTTGGGCTAGGGTACTCAGCCCCTAAGATTCTGGGAGATAGGACCTTTCCCCTGCAAGAGCCGGGCCAGACTTGAGCGGGGCCAAGATGGGAGTTTCCGAAAATGAGGGATACTGTAGCTTATTTGAGGGGGTCCTTATAATAAGGCTCCTATTATTTAGGGTACTACATTAAGGTCCCTTATTTTTGGGAAACCCCCAAATTTAATTTCCCCAAAGGCACCAGACCAATGTGCACAGAGTGCCAGCCCGGTATCCTTCCTGACAAAAACAGTATCGAGGTGGGGCTTTACCCTACAGCCCTTATCCTATAGCGTTTAGCCCTCTAGCCTCAAGCGCTTAAATCGAATTATGTAGGGGCTTAAATAATTACCAATACTATTTTTTGGGGGGTCCTTACTATAATTATTGTATAATGGGCCCCAAAACCCGATTCTAATTATTAAGGCCCCTATATGATATTCAGAATTCAAGCCCTTGAAGTTGACAGCCTAAACCCCATACCCAGAACTCGAAAAGCCTCCACCCTGGAGCCCTACAGCCCAAAGCACATAGCACAACGAGATCAGATCATAAGACCCTTCTTTCTCCGCTCGGACACCTCATGACGCCCATGCCATACGCATAGAAAAACCTTTGTAAACCTGCTCATGAATCCAGAACACACGTTTCAGAGAAATCCCAAACCGTGAAACCCTAGACCCTAAATCCTACACGGTTATCAAGTATCCCTGAAACCGTTGCCCTCAAAACGGGCCTAAACCCTGAAACCGAAAACCCCAACACCCTAAACCCCCAAATCCTGAAATGAAAATCCCTAAATGCCTTATTAAGCCTAAACCCAAAAGAATCTTAAATCCAAACCCCTTAAGTCTTTAAAATCCCATAACATGCCGAAGCGTTGTAACAAACCCAGGAGATGAGTGCAGCTGCGCAGCGCCACAGCTGGAGGCGCATCGAGATGGCTTTGGCCAACGAGGAGGGGCTATCGGTTTGGGGTTTTGGGTTTTGGGTTAAGGGCTTAGGGTTTAGGGATATTCGAAGGGATTAAGGGTGGGATGAAAGCAGGTGGAGTAGTCTCAAACAAGAGTCGGGATAGAAGCGGTCCTTAATCCTATCCACCTTGACCCCATCTTTTGAGGCCTCCAATATATAGCTGTGTAAAGTCAGGCCCCTTGTTAGGAACTCTAAAGAAGGTGGCACCCTTATAACAAGGATCCTAACAAGGATTCTAGTTTAGAGAACTACCCACATGTATGGTTTAGGGTTTATAGGGTTTGGGGGGCTAGATATTGAGGCCGTAATGCTTAGAATAGGGTTGCTTTACTTCCTTTTCAAGGGGCTTGAAAGTGTTCCTGCAAGGGTTTCTATGATACAGGAGCCTCAGGGGCGTTCAGCCCTTCATAGTTCAGGGCTTAGGTCTTCCCCCTAAACTATGGTTTAGGGTTTAGGGTTTAGGGTTTCTTAACCCTAAACTATGAAGGCGACAGCTTAAGGCTTATGTAAGTTTAGGGCTTTGGATCTAGCGGTTTTTGCTGAAGGGTAGGAGTTTAAGTTTCGTAGATATGGCTTTTGGCTGTATAGCCAGGATCTGAGCCTAGAGTTGTAGGTCTTTTGGGCCGAAGGTTTACGGCTTAGGGCTTGGAGTCAGCGTTGAGGTGTAAGGGCTCAGGGCTCAATACCCAATTGAAGGTGAGGACGTTATAGCGATACCTTAGTGGCTGAGTAGGTAACCTTTAACCTTTTGGGGCTTATATGATCCTACTATAATTCAAAAGGTTAACCTTTTTTGGGCTAGGGTACTCACCCCCTAAGATACTGACGGGGCGGAACAGTCGGTCAAAAAAACTGTGCGACTCTTCGGGGCCCCTATAAACCCGAAGCCAGCCCTGAACAAGAAAGAAAGTGTCAAGTGCAAAGGTACAGAAAGCATAAAGATCCTACATTGGGTGTTTTGAAAGCCCCTAGTTTTGTATGGACGGCTCTCTGTGTTTTAGCGCTTCGGGTTTCTAGTTGGGAGCTTGGGGCGGAGGGTTCAGGGTCGAAGATTAGTGCTTCGGGGTAGGTTTAGTTGTTTGCGTTTCGGAGTTTCGGGGATTCCTTTCTTGCGAGACGTTTCCGTTGGCGTGGACTTACTGAGGACCCCAAACCCTTAAACCCTCTAAGCCAGGCAAATAGCACCCGAAATCCTAAACCCCTAAACCCGAAACCCGAACAGTACACCTAAGAGCTAAGTTTGGTTCCCTTGACCTCTTGAGGTTCAAGACTGTGAGAATTGAAACCCAAACCCTGAACCCTGGCATGCCCATGGTGGGCGACAATAAACCTTGAAGCTAAGTACCAAAAAAACCTGAAATCCAAAACCCCAACTCCCATTCAGGCTTGTAAGGCCGATAAAACCCTGTAGAAGCCTTTGGAATTTCGTAAGAAACGCCATAAACTAAACCCTATACCTTATATTCCTAAACCTGAAACCCTACAGCCCTAAACCCTATAATTCATGAGCCCAAAACCCCAAAGCCCTAAACCCTGAGGAGCACAAGTACGGCTTGGCGGAGCTCGGCTTGCTGCTCGACCGCGGCCTGCCGCCGGATGCTCGCCTTGGGCTTTAAACGGGTTTAAGGTTTCGGGATGTACAACGGTTCTTGCAGGGATTTATTTTTTTTGGAAATATGGTTTAGCAATAGCAGGGTCTGAGAAGGAGTAGTAGTAGAGGTCATCCGGGCGGTCTAGACCCCATAAACCCTCGCCTGACAAGAACAGCTTTGTTCTCATAGGTAGACATGCCACATAGTGAGGGACTCCCAGTGACGGCCAACCCAGGACACCTGCCCGTTTGGTATTACGCCGCTTCTCTTGGCTGCCACCATCGGGCACCTGACGGCGGCACAGTTCCTTTTCGTTCGAGGTGCCAGCCCTCATGTCCTGGGTGGCCAGCCGCCCATGCTACCTGTAGAGGCAGCAGCACGGCACAACCATCTGCGCAGCTTGATCAAAATAGCATTTCTCTTTCCTGACTCACATTGCGGTTGTAGGTTGTAGGATGGATTGTTGAGAAATCATGTCTACTCGACCACCTGTTTCGTTGCCCATCATCCCTCCATTCAACCCCGTCCTTGAGCCCAGAGGCATCGTAGAGCTCCTACTGGAGAACGGCTCTGTGGCCGGCCGTGCGCTGCACTTCGCAGCGGCTGGCGGCTCTACGGATGTTGCCACCTTCCTCTTGGCCAAGAACTGTTCCCGGGCTCGGTCAGAGGGAGGAGGGCGCAAGAACTTTCTGGTTTAGGGCTTCGGATTTGGGTTCTTGGGTTTGGCGGTTCATTCGGGTTTCGGATTTAGGTTGTTGGGTTTCGGGTGTAAAGGTCCACTTGCTTGATGAATCGGACGGGTGCGTGTCACCTAACTCCCGCGACCATATTTGCGAGACCTCGTGGTCTTCTGGCTGGCTAGAACTTAATTATCTTGTTGCAATGTGTATAAACATATGCATATTATACGTGATATTCCATACATGTATATATATATATATATATGTGTGTGTGTGTGCGTGTATGTGTATACACACACATATTATATATATATATATATATATATATATGTACATATATATATATATATGTAAACAAAGCATGACTGCAAGTACACCTATCACAACTAAGACTTTCCAGTCGGTTGTAGCAACCCTGCTCCTCCCAGAGCCCGGAAAAGGCGTGTCCGGGATCAGGGCGGCCGTCTTTTGTTGAACAGCTGTGAAGGACCACAATCATCAGACCTGGGAGGACAAACGCAGCCCTTGCCAATATCATTCCTTATAGGGTGTACCCCCAAGCCATATTGAAATTACGAAGGCACCAAGTTCACACACGTGGGCAATTGACCCGAAATCCCGAATCCTCAGTTTTCCTTCCAACTTGACTCTGTTTTGCGAGTTCTGTGCTTCGTCCCCTTTAGGTGTGCTTTCTGCACCTCTTTTGCAACCACAACCTCAAACTCTCAACCCTACGCCTAGGCCCTATACCCTAACCTCAGCACCCTAAGCCACCCGTCTTTGAGCCCGACAGGTTCGGCAGATGCGCTTGTTTCTGGGCTCTCGCCCGTGGCCGTGGCCCTGGCATCCAAGCAGCACTCCATGGCGTCGCTGCTGCTGCCGCATTGCACTCCGAACCTCGGCCGAGGGTTGCTTACGGGCGATTTAGCTGTTTAGGGTTCAGGGCTTGGGGTTGAAGGTGTCGGATTCCAGGCTCAATGTTTTGAGTTCTCTGGCTAAAGATCAAAGTCATCTGATTTATGTTCGGCTCGACATCATCAGAATCTGGTCCGTGTCGCCTTGAGTGAGTACTCGTGCGAGACGACATGCACCCCAAGCCACTGCGGAAATCACTGATCAAAGCCTTTTGACAACCCGTCAGCAGTATCAACGCAAGCCATGCTGCACGAGAGAAACTAAAAAGCAACTCGAGTTGCTGCAAGGCAGAAATTCCGAGCGGAGTCAGGGCCTTTATATACATATATATATATATACATACATATATATATATATACTCATATTTATATTTCTATTCGTATTTATATTTATTTATTTATATGTATGTATATACATATGTCTCTATATATATATATATATAGGGTAAGTTGGCTTTCTTGACTGAGGACTGCTCTTCAAGCGACGATCCAAGACGACGGTTGCGCCTCCACCGGCTTGGCTTCAAAGCTGAAGTTTGATCACTTGATCTGTACTAGGGCCAAGCAACATGTAAACGTATTCTTTTAAAGCCCGCCGCCGCGTAGAGAAATTTCGCCAAGAGGTTACTGTTGAGGTATTGTGTTTGGGCTGTCAGCTTTATCGTTTGATTCGTACCTGTGGATCCTCTTCTAAGAATGGAGTCCTGAAAGACTTCTTGCAGATGGATGGCTGTTGTTGCTACGATGGCTCTGGCTCCGACTGCGAACAGTTTCAGTGGTACTACCATAGGGGCCTTAATAATTAGAATGGGGTTTTGGGATATGTTGTACTCCAATCATAATCGGGTTAGTGGTGGATGATGAAAGGCAATGAGACTTACCCATAGAAGGTGAAACCCTGTGTTCGTCTTCCAGCACCATCGCCTCATTGCTTTGTCAACAAGACTGCAATACTGAGCGAACAACGACTGCACATGAAAAGCCTACACCCTAAGTCCTAAGCCCCAAACTCCCAGATCCACGCAAGCTCTTATACCACCCCGTAAACCATCACAAAACTACACACAACTCCTAAGATTACCGACAAAAGACTGCTAAGGCCCTAAGCGACGAATAGAACCCGAAACTCCGAACCCCAAAGCCCGAAAAGACAAAACTACACAAAACTCCGAGGATACACCATAACCCTAGGCTCTAAAGCTCTAAAAGACGACTAAGAAACCTAAACTCTAAAGCCGAAGGCCCTAATGCACACCACTACACGAAACGACTATTAAGATATACCCTAAACCCTAAAGCCTTAGAAGACACTTCGAGCACTAAGCTCTAAGCCCGAAAGCCTTAAAAGACAAAGCTAGGCAGAGTCCTAAGATAAGCCCTAGAGCCCCAAAAGACACCCTTAACCCTGAGCCCTAAAGCCCTAAATAAACGAAAAACCCTGAGATACAGCTTAGCAACCCGCAAACCTCAAGCCCTCAAAAGACGAAGCCCTGAACCCCAAAGTCCTAAACCCTAAAGTCCTGAACCCTAAAGTCCTAAAGTCCTAAACCCTAGAGTCCTAAGGGAACAAAACCTTACAAGACGCCTACAGCCGAGGCACCAGGATCGACTTTGGCCCATCTCGCGGCCTCCGTGGGTGGCCTTTGCGAGGGCTTTGTCTTAGCTCTGCGGCTTGGCTTCTTAGGGTTCAGGGTTTCTTAGGGGCTGAGTAGTTAACCTTTAACCTTTAGGGGCTTATATAATCCTAGTAGAATTCAACAGGTTAACCTTTTTTGGGCTAGGGTACTCAGCCCGTAAGGTTTCGGGTTTAAGATCATTCAAGGTTCCGAGTCTTAAGGTTAATGGGTCACCGCAAGGTTATAACAGGGATTGATCCGAGCGGGGCTTGTTGTTTATCAGTTGCGAGCGCGGCAAACCCCACACGACCACGAGGGTGAACCTTTACCAGACCCGTAAACGCGCTAGGTTGAATAGCTACCACTACAAGTGCACAGAGAATCCGGGTTCGGCATGTCATTCAGCAGTTTGGCACAGAGGGGTGTTTGCAATGTGGCTCTAGAGCTCTTACGCGGATTTTATGGGGCTTAATGGTTTTCAGTTTTGGGCACTAGGGTTTGAGTTTAAGGTTCTAGTTGGGATGAAGGGCAGTCCAGTGCACATCTTCTTGCAATCACCAAGCTTCAGCACGCAAAAACCTGTTTGAGTAAGGGCTACCAGGACACTTTTTGCGGCTAAAGCCGGAAGGGAGGTTACCGCATCCAGGACTCTACCTGTTGTGACTTGGTACAGTTGATCAACATCTCCTGCAGTACCTTATTGAGTAGCCTGAACTCTGGCAGCTTTGCTGTGAGAATGCTGCGGTTACGGATCAATCAGCAGTACGTCAAGCCCCTAAACCTGAAACCCCAACCCCTAGAAAGCCCAGACCCAGGTCCCAAGATATCCTGTGAAGAACCCTAAATTTAGGGTTTAGGGTTTAGGGTTTAGGGTTTTCAGGTTCCGGCTGCTTCCGCTCAGCGCCAGCGTGGCACTGAACAACCACGGCAAGTCGCCCTTAGACCCTTGGCAATGTCGCGATCTCAGAACCCCTGGACCCTACACAACCTTATATAGGGGCCTTCGTGATTAGAATAGGGTTTGGGGGTTTCTTCCTGCGCCCCAATCCCTGAAACCCGAAGAACAAATTGTTGAAACCCGAAGCCGTGAATTGCTACCGTCTTGGATCCGGGAAGAGCAAGTCAAAATAATGTACGGCTTACTAATTAGAACAAGTTTTTTGGGGTTGTTTTATTGTATAACTATAATCAGGACTAAGGAGTCATTCTGGAAAACAAGTTGGTGATGATTCACGCAGCCAAATTAAGGACCGCAGTTTTGAAACCCTCCAGCATTTTTCAAAGAACCCTGGGTCCCAGCAGTGTGAGTCCAGGTACTTGGATAAAGAAACGTAGTTTATGCTGTGCTCCAGTCTGCGGCATGAGCTAGTATTTGTTAGTATATCGTTTGTTGGAAAGGATCATCTCATCTACAGTAAGCAGACTTGTAGCTAGCATGCGACGAGGTGCTGGCAGCTAGCGCTTCCTACATCAGTTTTTGGCAGCCGCATATGTCGGAAGTTTCTGATTCACATCTGGACCTGGCGTTGGATTACGTCAGGTACAGCAGACCGTCAACCCGTATGACCCTAAACCCTAAACCCTATACTACACATCTGAACGTCGTCTAGCCATCAAACAAACCGTAAAGCCTAAACCTTAAAACTTACACTCAAGGCTTGGGAGGTTGAGGGGGGGGCTCTGGGTGTACTAGATACTTGAACCCCAGGGCTTTAACCCACCCCCGCCACCAACAACAATCAGATGACCTCAGACTCAAAACAACGACCACACACATCCCTGCAGCTTTTATAACTTGTAAACTTATAACCTCACCCCAAACCCTTAAGCCCCGCCTGAACCCCAAGCCCCAAAGCCACACTGTCGACGGCCGAGCGAAGGATCTGATGTCCACGACACTTCGCATGGCTGTGAAGCCACAGCTATATGCTGCGCTGGGCGCTGCTGCAGAGGACCCGTTTGGGGTTTAGGGTGATACTTGGGTTTGGGAATGTAGGGGCTTAGGGCTTGGGATTTAGGGGTTGAGGCTTCGGACCGCTGTTCAAAAGGCATGTGTAGATGTTCACTCAGAGCTGAAACTCAAAGCTCTTTTCGAGAGGTGCCATGAAGGGAACACAGGGCAAGCCATCAAGATCTGTAATGCAAATTGCAGATGTGCCTTCATTGCAAACGGAGCTGTATGAACACTTCCTGTTCAGGCGATGAAGGGGTCTCGCGATTTTTTCGGCTCTCGAATTTCATGACGTAGGGCTTGTATAGTTAATGACTGTTTTTGCTTGAAACAATTCTGGGTTTGGTTTCGGTTTCAGGCTCTGAGGTCTCGACACGGCCACTATGACCACAGGCACATCTCCACAGCAGCAGTTGCATCGGAAGTGTTCAGAGCCATCACTGTTGCGACGATAACATTATCCCCCGCAGCCGTGCTTACCATCATGTCCTTCACCATGACCATTTGCGGCGTCATCGTCATCGTTATGACCATCAT